AGCACATTAAGATTTAAAGAAAGGACTTAGGAATAAAAGACAAACCTTTATCCATAATTAACCCATTTGGCCAAAAACCTTAGAATTCGGGTTTTGAATATCATTCACCCAAATTATGAATCAATGGTTTAAATATATCTAAATAAGTATAAAATAAAGTGTAAAAAGGTTAGATCTTAAGAAAAACGAAAATTTTAGTTTTTACTAGGAAACACTCGACTTGCACCCTACTTTTGGACATTGAATTCCCACCACCAAAATTCAAGAGTAAAGGTTTAATTGCATCCTATTGGAGATAAAATAAAGTATTAGAAGAAAAGAATTCAAGAAAAACCAAAATTAAGACTTGGATCCACTAAAATTATATGTCGACTATTATGGCTCAAATTAAATGTCATTAAAGCTAGGACTAAAATATGGGACTTGAGTAAACCTAATGGATGGGTTATGTATTTTGTACGAGACTACCATGAAAATATTGGTGAAGTCCCAAGTGTGGATTGAATTTCTAAAATGGTATGGATATAAATAGTTTGATGCCTATGAGATATGGAATGTGGCTCATGATACATGAAATGGATTAACCCTATTAGATGGGTCTTAAATTCCGTGTGTGAACTCAATGGTATGAAATCGATGGGTTTAGTACCCATGACATGGTGGAATGTGGTTCATGATACATCACGTGCATCATATGCATGCGGAAAATGGTTTTACTTGAGAAAAACAAGTGAATCGAAACGATGAGGTTTGGTAACCGAATCGGATGGAATTGGATAGGTTTGGTAACCTATTGGATAAAAAGGGTATTAGCGGTCCAACTGTGTGCGTACTCTAAGTCGTGTGTCCTGCACTGTTAGACGATGGATTTCTACTAACATTAGCTACAACGAGGGATAATTTCGTTGTTAGTAGAAAATGAATCGATCATCACCTGGATTAAAAATAAAGTAGACGACTTTAAGCCGTTTGCCTACACTATTGGACTCCCGCTAACGAGTGGCTACAATGAGGGATAATTCCGTTATTAGCAGAAGGTGAATCAATCATCACTGGATTAAAAATAGAGTAGACTCGCTAATACCTGTGGTACCTAGAATTAAAATTAGATGAGTCAAAGTGGGAAAAGTCGGAAAATCATTGCATATCACGTGCATCACCCTACTTACTAAGCTTCATCTCACTCTGTGTTTATTTCATGCCATGACGAGTAAATGTAATACTAATGCCGATAATGAAGCTACCAATTCCTTTTAGAAAAAGGTTCATGTATGACACAATAATTATAGGATCTACCATTGTTTGTAAATTATATTTTGTAATTTTTGTAATGATATTCAGTACATTGTGTATGTGTATCGGATTAAATTTGAGACTTCGATCTCTAAATCGTGGTGCACCTAGCCACGCCTTTTAAATAATCGACAAGGGAGTCTGGGGCACTACATTATCCCTATCCATCATTTTTTCACCAAATTGAACTCCATCACTAATATCATTGACGTTTCATATAAGTGTAATGACCAATTAAAAGTCGCTCATGTTGTAAATATTGCTTATTTACTTTCCATTGGTGAACTTGAAAGTGGGAGAAGGCTTAATCAAGTTGGTAGTTTACAAAGGTTTAGGAATACTCATTGGAGTTCTCATCTAAATTTTACTTCTAGCTTGATGAATATGTTTAGTGCAACTTGTGAAATTTATCGAATATCATTGAAGATAGAGCTACAACTTCTTAGCGTGAAGATATAGATATAGCTTACGAGGGATTAACTTCTTTTGAATTTGTTTTCATTATGTATCTAATTAGAAAATTTTTAGAGATGTCCGATTTGCTTTGTCAAACTTTGTAACTTCGATCTCGGGATATTTTGAATGCAACGAATCTAATTTCTTCAACTAAGTTACTCATTCAAAAATTAAGAGATGAAGGATGAGATGAATTAATTTCAAAAGCAAAATCTTTTTGTGAAACGAGTCAACGTACCCATACCGGATCCGAGTACTCATTATGTTACAAAAAAGAAAGGACTCGTCATCAACGAGATACAATTATGATTGAGCATCATTACAAAGTTGATATATTTAATGTTGTGATAAATTCTCAATTACAAGAGTTAAATAATAGATTCAATGATGACACGATAGAGCTACTCATTCTTAGTTTAGCTTTAGATCCTAAAGAGATGCGCATATCATTTAGGATTGATGACATTTGTTAGTTGGTGCAGAAATTTTACCCTCAAGACTTCGCTGATCATGAAATGCCGCAATTAAGAATGCAATTTGAGCATTTTGATTATATACGAAATCTTTCTTATCTCGAAACATTATCAACTATATCCGATTTATGTCAATGGTCGATGAAGAAAAAAATTTAAAAGTTGTCCACTTGTGTATAGAGTGAGAACACTTATTCTTACTTTTTCGGTTTCTATAACTACCATGGAACGGTCATATTCAGCTATGAGCATAGTTAAGATTAAGCTTCGTAACAAGATGGAAGATGACTTTCTTTTCGATTATTTGTTAGTGTATATTGAAAAAGAAATTATTGAAAATTTTAGTATGGATTCGCTTATAGATGATTTTCGTGACTTAAAGGAACGAAGATTTCTATTTTGAGTGATTTTATATTGAAAGTATTTTAAAATATATGTTGTTATGTTATTTATAATATATATAAATTTGTGTAAAGCATGACAAATTTATAAAAATTTATTTCGGCCCCGTGGACATTTGGTCTTGCGTTCGTCACTCGGACTCCATAATTCATAATATAATTTTTTTTTGGCCTATTTATACTATTAAAAAAAAAGTTCAAACTTCAGAATTCATTTTTGGTTTTTACCTAAAACCAAATTTTAGTTTCATAAATCGAACAAACAAATAGAAGTTTAGTTCGGATTCAAATTTTCTTTTAGAGAGTTCGGTTAATCAAAAACCAAACCAAATTATTAACAATCGAAATTGAAAAACCAAATATGCACTCTTCCTTGTTTGTCAAAACAAGAGAAATTCTTGAGGTTTTGAATAAGAACTAAAGTGTTATGTAGTCTTCACTAAGTACCAAGATAAAGGCTTCTATAATCTAATTTAATGCTTTTTTTTTTTAATGATGAAGAAAAACTTATATTCATGTTTTGTGTGCATGAAACACAAAACAAATCAAAACAAATCAATTCATAATGCATCATCTTATTAATTTTGGATTTTTTTTTTGAACGAGCTCAATTTTTTTTCTTTTTTTAATGGTGGGGACCAATGCATTAAATTTATGATAGGTTACGTCATGTCTAGATCATAGTTTTAAATAACAACTTTAATAATATGCAACAATTGTTATTTAATGAAATCAACTAAAGTAATTATTGTTTCTATCGTTATATACAACATAACTCCAATTCATGACAATAACAACGTTATATAATGATAATGACCGTTGTTGTTGCTATTTGGTGAATAATGGTCCAAATAACGATCATTATATAATTGTTTAAAAAAGTATTTTTGATTCTTTGCTTTAGAATAAATTTATTAACAACTACTAATACATTCACGACATCGATTGTTATAATCATTATTTTACTATCGTGATAAGTATCGACTCTAATTATTTTTACAATCATATCGATGATTTAAAACTATAATATAGATAAAATATATTGGTTGGGGATTGATTTGTGAAACCCATAATTGGCTTAGGCTAATTAAAAATATATATATATATATATATGTGAAGACTTAACCATTTATTAAAACCATAAAAGCCCAAACAAACTGTCTCGTGATGGTGGTGCCAACATGATCGATCTAAGTCGGAGTAAATTGTAAATTAGTCTTTTAATTTTTGAAATGAATTAATTAGTTTTTTTTTAAAAAAAAACTAATTACTTAATCTATTTACTTGTATTGATTATGATTAATTTAATATTATTTATTTTAAAAATATTATTTTTTCTTATAAATATTTCAATATTTTTCTTATTTTTCTATTTTTTATTTCTTAAAAAAAAATTAAAATAAATTGAAAAAGAAAATCTAAAAATTTAAGGACTAAATAGTTATATTTTTTAAAGTAGGGACTATTTAATTCTTTCTCAAAACTATAGAAACTAATTTATTATTTACTCATCTGCATCGCGGTTCCCATTTTTAACCATGAATGTAGACCGTAAAGCCCAATTGCGCCACTTGGCAATACCACTATTCTTCTTTCCCTGCAATTCAAAATCAATCTCCTCTGTACGGATCATTGCTTCTCGGACAACAACAACCTTCGGGAATCTAAGTACCTTTCTTGTCTACAAATATTTTCCCATTCCTGGTCAGCTCTCTTGTCTCTGTTTCTTCTACTCGCATGATTTCCTTTTTGCCCTTTCTGAACTGTCCGTCTGCCTGCACTTAAATTCTCATGCCATTTTTTCTTTAGCTGTACTGTCCTATTAGTAGGTTCCGGGTTAGTGTTTTTTAAGTTTTGTATGTTTCTCATTAATTTCGTCGAATAATCATTTCAAAGTTTCGCTTATTGGTAATGAAACTCTGGTGCTAATTTTTAGTACGAGGTAAAGGTATCTCAGGTTTATTTTGCTGTTCCAGTATCAGGACATGTGTGTGTATGGAACCAGCTTATAGCTTCTTCTTCTTTTTTTTTTTAATTAATCAAAATCAAGTTTTTTAGTGTCTGAGAAAGAATAAATGTATCAATTTTACTTTATTATTTATATGCAATGGAGTCGCTGTTCCTTTCTTTGTTTCCTTTTCTTGTAAAATAAAGTTCCATATTTTTGGACTGTGGTGATTATTTCGGTTAAGTTTCGGGACGTTTAGAGTATTTGGTAAATGGAATCTTTGCTTGCTTGTGTTAAGGTTGTCGAGGATAGTTGTCCAACAGCTGGCAGAGAGTCAATTAGCTGTTAATTTTGGTTGTTTTTTAAGCTGAAACTCATGGCTATATGAAGTGAGAAGATTGGTAAAAGATTTTTAGAGTTTGCCCAAAAATGGAAAATTCACCGATGACAATCGGCTCAAAAGGTTTGATAAATAGGCATGAATTTGTGAGGGCTATAATTCAAAGCCTTTATTCATTGGGTTATAGAAAGTCTGGTTCTTGTCTCGAGTCAGAATCTGGGGTTTCGTACAAGTCTATGAATTTTGAGTTGCTGGAATCACAAATATTGAAAGGAGATTGGGATGGCTGTATAAATACCCTTTGTGCAATTCAGGAGTTGGTGGATGAGACGAGAGCTTCAGTGTTGTTTCTGGTGTTGAAACAGTGTCTGTTAGAATATTTGAATGGCGGAGATGATTCTTTAGCTCTTTCTGTTTTGCGGAAGCAGGTTCCTGCACTAAACATGGGCAAGGAAAATGTCCATAACCTTGCTTATAGTATAATTTGCTTGAAGGAGATGGAATTAAGTAAGATAGATGACTATGTCATCCACGAGCAGCGGAAAAACTTGTTGACAGAGTTGGAAAAATTGCTTCCTCCACCAACTGTGTTGCCTGAAAGAAGGTTGGAACATCTAGTTGAAACTGCTATTACAGCTCAAATTGATTCGTGTGTTTATCACAATTCAGTGGATTCAGTTTCACTTTTTGAGGACCATAACTGCACAAGGGACCAGATTCCCACAGAGACCATTCAGGTATGCTTCTTGCTGCCTTTTAAATTTTTACTACTTCAAAATGTTACACATTTTTTGTTTTTTGGCGAAGAGAGAGAGAGAGAGCAAAACTAATAATCATTGACTTTATGAATAGAATATGGAAATGCTAATTTCTTTAACTTGTTGTTGTTAAATGCTGACTATTTGCTTGCATTAAGCTCAATTGTTATTTCCCAATTGAGCATTCAGATGGTTTATGTTGATAAAATCTCCGAAAACTTGTAAGTTGGCAATGCGATGCTAAATACCCATTATAATGAAAGAAGTATGTACAAGTCACTTTCAACTTACAGCATGATAATATGAATTTTTAATGTTTTAACCGTTTTGAGGATGGCAACATCACATTCATGGAAAATTCTGGATATGATGAAGGATGACATTGTTTCATGTTCTATACTTTTGTATTAGTAATTTAGGAATGAAAGGCAATTCTTCTTGAACATTTGTGCTTTTGAGACTTGCTTGGTGCTTGTCTAGCTGTCTTTATATTGAGCGGGAATCTACTGAAAATCTAGTTGCAGAAAGCAAACAGGTGATTATCAATTTCTAAAGAATCTATTAGTCTTGAATTAGTTGAGAGTTTGTCAATCATCTCCTTTTAGCATGTCTTAGTTTCTACCCTAGTGGTAGCCTGCGCCTTCCAACGAGGGAGGTCACTATCCTCAGCCCCTTACCAGTGGAGGGAGATGGTTAGAAAGAGGGGAGCTGGCTGCTTTAGAGCTCATCATTGGTGCTAATCTTACAAGAAAGGGTGATGTAGAATAACCAAGATAGAAGAAGCAGAATTCCCTGTAGGAGAGGGATTAAAAAGAAAAAAGATGGAAAGATGAAGCAGAGAAGAAGGAAGTCCTTCTAGAAGAGAGATAAACAGAGAAGAATAATTAGAGAAGAGAATGACAGTAGTAAAGTCTAATAGCAATTTTCAATTCAATCATCAATCAATCTGCATAAAGCATAGAAAAGTGCTCTTAGATGGGCACCATAACCCTAGTGGTATTATTTTTAAAGAAGGAAACTAAATAACAGTGTTTAAGATAGAATAATTTTAACTAACTCAAACAACTAAAATAAAACAAGATATTGAAGCTTATTTCCCTATAACTGGTTTCCCGTTAAGAGGTGAAAGAGGAATACAGAGTGGCAGAGAGTAAGAATCTTGTTAAGAGAAGCCGGATAACTGAAAATTAATTTTAGATAAATGAGAAAGCCTAATGGAACTTGTGCATGCAAGTTTACAACTTTTAGCAATTCTTGTGTAACCATGCATATAAATCAAACCTAATTCTCTGTTACCTTCCTCTTGGTCCATAAAATTAATCAAATGTTCTCTTTTAGCATGTTTAACTGGTAGAGAGAGCTGAGCAAAGTCCTCCTTTTAATTGGGTGGAAACAGAGTAAGAATTTTGCTGGAATAAACCATAAAAATGAAAGCTAGTTTAGGGTAGTCTGGGAAGCAGATGGGTTCTGTTGTTAAGCTTGCAATGAGATCTAACTCCTCGCAATTGGCCTTTGATTTTTCCTCATCAACTTTGCAAATGTTTATTTATTCATTATTTTTATGCCCTACCCTTATTAAACGCTTAAAGGATATTTGTTGCAGAGTAACTGAGCTTGAGACTAACTTTATAAACAAAAATTAATTTTGAACTGACAGTAAGCACCAGCTTAGCTGTCTTGGTGAGGTTATCATTTGAACTACTACTTGGCAATCGAATTTGATCTTTTCTTTTCAACCCAACAAATACCATTTGATATCTTTAACAGAACAACATAGACACATTTGTTGTTTGTTTTTGCAGACGTTGACTGAGCATAACAATGAAGTTTGGTTTGTTCAGTTCTCTAACAACGGGGAATACTTAGCTTCTTCTTCACGGGACTGCACAGCCATCATATGGAAGGTACTTTTTGATACTTCGTCCTGTGGGCTTGCTTATTCGAAGTGTTATACAAACTAGGAATTTTCTTTCTTGATCCAAGTTTGTCATTGAGAATTGGCATGACAAATTACTTTTGTGATTGGTTATGTGCGGGGAGCTATATTCTGTGATTTTGCAACTTAGGAAGAGTTTTTTCTTTTGGATGAAAAACACGGGAGTTGTTATATGTGTGTAAATCATGCGGACAACAAAGGTAGCAAAACTTGTATCTTTTTGTAGATAAGGGTATTTCTGTAATTTTTGAAAAATCTGGAAATTTGTCTAAAGGTACTTTATACTAACGAGCAATTACCTTTATTAGTTTTTTCTATTGTACATAGATTTGGTATTTTCTTATTTAGGAATCTAAGTCTGTGTTGGATTTGGACAACTAGAACTCTATAAATAAGCACGTAGTCTTTCAATATTTTCAACGATGGTTTACGAGTAAAATTCGGGCAATTTGTTTTTGATAGTTTGACTCAATCTCCCTTAGATGTGACTCCTAAGAACCTAAGGTGTGAAGCTTAGGTTTTTCTATCCTCTAGGTGTGATCCTAGAAACCCCATTAGTGTCACTCTAATAGTTCTACAATCCCCAGCAGAGATCCACTTTAATACAAACCAATACAGCCCTAAACAGCCTCTAAAGTCAGATCCCGAAAAGACCTCAGAGTTGTCTTGCATCAGTTGGTATCAAACCAAAACCTCGATCCCCACAGAAAACGTCAGTTGACATTTCAATTTGATTCTATTCAGTTCTGCAATTTAGACTTGAATGAAAGGGGATTTAATTGCATCTTAATCCCTGGATCGCTGCATAGTCATGGTTCAATCCTTAGTCAAGTTCCACTTTTGTTTTCTTCGTCATCATTGCTGAGACTGCTGAAACTTGTTCATTCTCTTCGTTTTCTAGGTTTTCTTGTTGAAGTTATTTTGTAGTTTGGTTTGGTTATAATCAAGAGAAGCTACTTTGTTTTCTAGGTTTTCTTCTAGAAGTTATTCTGTAGTTTGGTTTGATTATATTCAAGAGAAGCTACTTTGTTTCCCAATAGAAGTTTTGAAGGATAGAACATGAATCCTACGCTTATTGGACATCACAGAAATCATTATGACTCGATTAAGAGGGAAGTACTAGAGGCAAACTATGAGTTGAGTTCACTTTTGTTGATTTGACTGTCTGACATGTTGTGTCCTGTTACAGAGGAGCAGCTATTTCAAGTGCTCAATTGGTATGGCTGTGTGGATTTTGTAATCGTTTTGTAGAATTAGCCTTCATTAACTTTAAATATTATAAAAATGCTAAGATAGCTAGAGCTTCACTTCAAGGACGGTGTATCTATAGTAATGGTTGCAGGCTGGATATCCGACGTTCAAATTTTAGCATGTTGAGAATGTACTGTAATACTAGGCGCGATACTAAATGTATCCTTCGGATGAACAAGCCACAGAGGTTATACACAATCATATCTGAGAGTTGAAAGGCTAAACCAACAAGTGGAGCTGCCAATACAGCCAACAATAAAGATGGTACCACATGCTGAGAAGGACGACCATAGCGAAGAAAAATTAATGCAGCAGGAAGACATTTCAAATCAAAAAATGCAACAAGAAACTGGTCAGAACTTTTGGAAGCAAAAAGGTTTGCACTATTGGCAGCAAAACCTATGCAGCCATCTATTCCTTGAATAACAACATGAAGAACAATTCCAGCAACCTAAGGGCCATGAAATGGAGGTAAAAACAGTATGAAGGGATGCTGGAAGGTCTGAAGAGAAATTTCAGCAAATAGAAACTGAAAATAGGGGACAACTAAAGGACGAGGTTAAAGAAATAATTATTGACACGCCAAAGACAATGGATATCATGACAGAACAGGAGCACAACATTAAGGATACTCAAGACAGAGATGAGCAAATTGTACAAATCAATCAAATCTTCCTCACTGTTTTCACTTATGGAAATGGGTTAATTGATATCAAGTTCAAGAGAGTGGCTTCAAGCTATAGGATGAGGTGTGGAACATGTCGTTTTTGCTACTTTGACACTTCAAAACTCGAGATCTAGTTTTCTCCAACCACGGGAGAATGATGCGGGCAACAAACATAGCAAAGCTTGCATCTTTTTGTAGACAAGGGTATTTCTGTAATTTTGAGAAAATCTGGAAATTTGTCTAATTCTATTTCTATTTAGTATTTTATTAGTCCTGAGGAGTAATTAACGTTATTAGTTTTTTTTTTCTATTCTACACAGACCTAGTATTTTCTTATTTAGGAATTGAAGTCCTTACTTAGATTTGCACAAATAGAACTCTATAAATAATAAGCATGCAGTCTTTCAATATTTTCAATGACAGTCTATGAATTTCCGGCAATTTGCTTTTGATTGTGTGATTCAATCTCTTTGGTGTGACTCCTAAGAACCCTAGTTGTGAAGCTTAGGTTTTTCAATCCTCTAGGTGTGACTTCTGGAAACCCTATTAGTGTGACCTAATAGTTCTACAATTCCCAGCAGAAATCCACTTTAATACACCCCAATACAGCCCCTCCAAAGTCAGATCCAGAACAGCCCTCAAAGCTGTCTTGTATAGTTAAATCATTAATCAAGGTTCTGCATCTTGATATTTCTAGGAAATTTTGCATTTGGAATGGTAAAAGAAAGAAAGAGGATGAATGAAATTTTCAAGAGCTTTGTATAGCAGACATTAAGTTCCTTACAGTTGTTGTTAGTTGAGTCCGAAACTTAGTGATAACTGATAATTTGATATTTACTTGATATAGGTTAATTTAATTTATAGCTCTTGATGTACAAAATAGTAATGGATGGAGGGATGTGTCTTTGAGATAGATTATGCATTAAGTTGTTTAGCTAGCTATAACTTGTTTGGAATTTAGATTCGATGTCCTAGTCTTCTGAAGAGCTTAAATGAATTTTACTGCATAATAATACTAACTGTTTCAATTCCTTGTTGATGCTAACAAGGAATTGCCTTTAAAAAGAAGAATTCTAGTTCAAGTGGAATGGATGATTAGTGAAATACTAAGTTCTTCTAAAAAATGTGCAAGGGCCAGCTGATAGTAATTAACATAATATTAGTTATGCGGAGCTAAATGAAAGATTTTCCCCCATCATTGTGCTGATTTAGACAAATTGAAAATTTTGAAAACAAGAGAATTGAGTATTGCTGCTAGCAATATGATGATTTCACAATGTTGGGATCTGAGATTCTAAGCTGATCATAAGCCTTACAACTACTAGGATCTGGTTACTGTTTTTTAGCAGGTTAACAAATCGTATGAGAGTTAGCATCTAAGAAAGTCTGAATAGGTCCCAGCTGAGTTGAGGTACTGTCATTATTGTAAATAGTATCAGGCTCTATTCATTGGCCTCGTCATGACTATTCAATTACAGTTTCATGAAGTCCCTTGATGTGTGTATATTATCTTAGATTAAAGCTTTTATATTTATATGTGTGCGCGGCATTGAGTTGATTTTGAGTTTGTGCTTAGAACTGATTTAAAAACAAGTTCTGCTTGGTGAAAAATGAAGATGCCAACCAATTTGAAAGTGGGTCAGTTCATCATTTAATTTGGCAGTTCTTGTGTTAGGTACTGGAAGAGGAGAGGCTGTCATTCAAACACATGCTAAGAAGCCACCAAAACCCAGTATCCTTTGTAGCATGGAGCCCTGATGATACAAAGTTGCTAACGTGTGGAAATGTGGAAGTTCTCAAGTTGTGGGATGTGGAAACAGGTACATGCAGGCATACTTTTGGGGATCATGGCTTCATTGTTAGCTCATGTGCTTGGTTTCCCGACTCAAAGCGATTTGTGTGTGGCAGTTCTGACCCTGAAAAAGGCATCTGCATGTGGGACTGTGATGGTAATGAGATAAAAGTATGGAGGGGCACAAGGATGCCTAAGGTTATGGACCTTGCTGTGACGCCGGATGGGGAAAATCTGATCAGTGTAATGTCAGACAGAGAAATTCGGATATTAAATGTCAGGACAAATGCCGAACAGGTCATCCCAGAAGAGCACCCAATTACTTCCCTTTCAATTTCAGCTGATAGCAAGTTCTTTATTGTCAATCTTAATAGCCAAGAGATCCATTTGTGGGATGTTGCAGGAAAATGGGAGAGACCATTGAAATATATAGGTCATGAGCAACACGAGTATGTGATAAGATCCTGCTTTGGTGGATTGAATAGCTCATTTATTGCCAGTGGTAGTGAGAATTCACAGGTATGGTTCTTTTATACATGATATAAGCTTTTTGTGAAAAAAATAATCCATGTACATGCATATTACCGGTGATTATATTTGTTTTCATCTTATCATGGTGATTCATTTTGTCTTCCTCGTTTATATCCTCGTAGCATGCAGATTCACACTCTGATGTTAAGCAGATGGAAGCAGCACTAACTCATCTGTTAATCTCTGGTCTCCTGTTATTTGGTGAAGTGAATTGAATCTGAAATTATGTTGTTACATTTTAGCAGGTTTACATCTGGAACCGGCAGAACTCTAGGCCAATCGAGGTTTTGTCTGGCCATTTAATGACAGTGAACTGTGTCAGCTGGAACCCTACAAGGCATCAAATGCTGGCATCAGCAAGTGACGACCATACCATCCGGATATGGGGATCTAGCCAATCCAAGAACATACAGCATTAGAAGCATGTTTGAAGAGAAGGATAGAAAACCAATAATGCAGCCCAAACTTCAATGTATATATAATAGCATTTGTTTTCCCCAATTTGTTATTTGTTCGTAGATTTGTAAATAGGTGGCATCCTGTTGCCCCTTTCCAATTTTGGAGCCATTTTCCATTGTAAATCTCCTTTCCCTTGCATATGTGAATCCTCTAGATGTTTTGAGAAAGTATATGTTCAAGAAGTAGCTGATACTTTATTTGATGCCTTTGCACTCACGTGCTACTGTGCAAATGTCTTTTTGATCCAGCAGCGATCTTTCTTATTGGCAACTTCTGGTGGAAGTTGCTTTGCTTTCCGTACTTTATGGTCACTGGCTTTTCAATGAGCAATCTATATCTTGAATAGGCTTGGGCTAGCTTTGTCTGAGCTTGGATTGCTCTGATTTCTGGGTCACAAATAACAGGCAAAAAGCTACTGCATGCCCCCGTACTTTTGATTTTAGCACAACTCCACCACCCAATTCTGGTACATAACGGTACTTTTATTTCAAATTTTAGAATGCGATGGCCTTTCGTCCTTCTGAGTTTATCAATTTTTGTTCGTCCACTAAACATTGACCAGTAACACAATGACACATGGCATTTAATAATTTTCTAAAAGAAAAGAAAAAAAATCAATTAATAATATTTTTAAGGTTAAATTACGGTAAAACATTCTGAACTATTGGTCAAACTCATATATACATCTAGAATTTAAAAAAACTATTTCACTACCACAAACTATATTTTGGTAAATAATAGATTTTTTCGATTTTTTTCTCATGCTTTGACTGCATGTGACATCATGTGATTGCTTGAAAATTGATAGGTGGCGAACTAATCCTTCCATTTCTTTTCTTTTCCCATCATGTACAAAGAGCTTTCCTCCAAAAAAAGAAAAAAAAGCTTTTCCTTCATCTCTAAAATTATTTTTCATCCAACTTCTTCTTGATCTCCTAATTCCTCCCATAAAACCCTTAAAAGAAAGTTGGTTTCTTAAAGTTTTTCAACCTTAATCAACTAAAACTTTAAAACAACACAAAGTTAACACTATTGTTAACCTTTAAGATGGTTTTGCTTGAAACCTTAGTCGCTGGCACATCCATCAAGTGTTCAACAAAATATCTTCTTATTCAATTCAATCTTTTAGTTGAAAGAAAAGAGTCCATGTTTTCTCATGGGTCTCCACTCAATATCAAAAAAGTCTATACTAGGCTCGGAGGAAAGAACAAAAGTGTTGATATGGATTGTACTTAAAAAATCTAAGCACCAAGTTTGAAAAGAAAGAATGAAGATAACGAGTCTCCTTTAGGTTCAAACTTCAAGAGGAAAAGCTTTTGGTCATATCAAAATGAGTGAATCCCAACTTGAAAGACAAGTGAATTACATCAAGCATCTTTTCGTGAAACGTACCGAAAATTATAACATTCCACAATTTGAAAGGCTTTATACTCGTATAATAAAGGACATCTTTGAAACTAAGGACAAAGGAATCAAAGATGGCCTTAGATACTCAATTTTGAGGTTTTTAGTGAAATTTGCAAAACACAATGTAAATTTCTAAACTCGATACCTTTTTCTTTATATATATATATATAGCAAATAGTTTATGTAAAGTAAGAAATTTTTTTTTTTTAATGTAAAATTATGGAGTGAAAAAAAATCTCTCTTTTTACCTCTCTCAACATTGTTTTGGTATTAACCCAAATACAACTTTATTTGAACCCCTTTCTATTAAAATTGGTAGTTGAAATTGAATTTCATTTAAAAGAGAGATTTACAAACGGCATTGCCCTTCTTCACTCACGCGATATTGTTGGATCGGGCTTTCGCCCATTGTCCAAGATTCCCCACTCGTCGCCCCCATTGGAGTCCGAGCCGTGTCTCGGTCCCAATGTGGCTAATCATCCGAAAAGACCAGCTAAGCATCATTGGCTTGGTCGGCCTTTACCCGACCAACTACCTAATACTACGCAGTGCTCATCAAACAACGATTTTAGCTTTCTTCAAGATTTGGCCTGAACTATTCGGCAGATTCCCACGCCTTACGCACCCGTTCGCAACTTTGTTCTCAACTATTCCCACTTCCTGGGCGAGACAAGCTACCTTTAGCTAGGAGCCTCTTTTTCCTTCTGCGTAGCTCCCCGAAAACAACGTTCGACTTGCATGTGTTAAGCATATAGCTAGCCTTCCTTTTAAGCCAGGATCAAACTCGTCTTTTGAGCATGATTGAGCCCTGCAGTGGTAGAACCTAGTGAACCGGACGTACGACTTTTGGTAAGGGTGTTCATTCGGTTTTTTGGTTTCGGTGTTTTTTCGGTTTTCGGTTAACCAAATTGGCTAAAACAAAAACCGAAACCGAACCAAATTGTTGTTTGGTTAAAAACCAAATTTTTTCGATTCGATTTTTCGATTTTTCGTTAAAAATCGAATTTTTTTTTTTTTGTTTTTTTTTGCATTTTTCTTCTAAAAATCGAATTATTTTGCTTTTAAAAAATATCAAACTTGCATTATCAAAGATTGCATATTTCACATTTGATTTTATAAGAAAATTATGTATGATTATTATTATTTTTTTATAATAAATATGTTTCTATTTATATTATAAACTAAATTAGTTGGGCTTCTCATTATTTTTTCAATCACGCTATAATTGGTTTTTTATTAATTTTTTATATTCTTTTTTTTAATCTATTTATTTTGTGCATATTTTATTGTTGAATATATAATATGAAAAATTCAATTTTTAATTTATGTTTGTGCCAATTTTAATAGAAGGAGATAATTTTTTTTCATGAGGTTTTAGGATTCACCTATAAATTTGTGTTTTCATAAGAATTTCTTTATCATAGTCTTTTATTTTTTATTTTTTTGTGAGTCAATATAATATAATCAATTATTTTTTATTTCAATAAATAATTAATGAAAAATATTTTTATTTTAAGTAGAAAAAAAATCATTAAAGCTATTGTTCTTTTAGTTAAACCCATAGGTGCCTCTTTGATTTTTTTTTTTTAAAAAAAGAGTTTGAGTATGTGTTTAAAAAAAAAAAACTAATTTGGTTTTTGGTGGAAACTGAATTTGAAAAAAAAACGAACCGAACCGAAATAATTTTCGATTTTCGGTTTTGTGGTTTTTTTTTAATTTTTTTTAAAAAACCGAACCAAAATTGTTAATTCGGTTTAGTTCGGTATTTCGGTTTTAACCGAATAGTGAACGCCCCTAACTTCCGGACTCGAAGCTCTTTTCTTTCTTCTCTTATGAGATTTTTATTGAGTTGGATGGTGCCCTAAAGGAAAGCCATCTCTCTCTTATCGAGATATCTCTTTAACGAGTGGAAATGCCGACATCTACTCGAGATGGCTTGACATTCAAGAACAGGAGCTTCACTCGGGTTTGGGGTTCCGAATTATAATAAGAGAACCAGAGAATCAAGCGAACCCGGGAATCCTGCTGAGTAAGTGGCATTGTTCCAATGCTTATTGATTAGGATAGGTGCAAAGGCTACTCAACCGCAATGCAAGAAGAGGTGAGTAAACGCTTGATCGATCATTCTTTTAGAGGAAAAAGGTTGGCTCGCCGTATCTCTCAACCGAGCCTAGAAGACGAGAATCCGACCGAATCCGATGCAACTCAAAAGCTCCAACCGACGCATCTATTGAGACAAAGCAATCTTCTTAAAGTTCAAATGAGAGGGTAGCGGTTTCTACCAGCCTATTGTTAAATCCTTGGATGGGCCATGCGAGCTTTAGCCATCTACAGTTCTCTGTAAGGCTCCAGCTAATAGATATCTTTCTTTATCAGCCCTTTTATCTTGCGGGTAGGGGGAGTTGTTTTATTGAGGATCTTGAGAAAGTGAGCAATCAAATGAGAAAGGTATTTCTAGTGTAAGTGTTTCTGCTCGAGAGCTAGTTGCTTTCTATCGTCCTTACCTTGTCGGTCTAAGTTTAATCCCTCCTATTGTCCAAGTAGTGAAAATAGGGGTAATTATGCCTAGTGGCATTGAAGCACGAGTCTCTTTAGCAAGCTAAGGCTAGCCCTCTCTAATTCAAAATGTGTTCTATTCTAAGGCTCGGACGTGGAGCCGGCTCTATTAATCGATAACCAACGATTGCTTTCCCACGGACCCATAAGCCTTCGAGTCAAGTGCATAAAAGAGAGAGGAGGTAGCCCTCGCTAACGGAATCAAAGAATCAAAGTGCAATAAAATGAAAAAAAGGAAGGCGAGGCGGAGAAATCGAAGAGGGAAGTGACTCCATCTTCTAAAGCCGGGAAAGAATAAGCTTCGGGCATGACCGAGTACGAAAGCTAGTTAGTTGCTAACCGAAAGAGAATCGAAGAATTAAATCCCATCTGTTTTGGTTGCTAGCGAGTGAGGGAATCACGGATGGGCTTTTGACCTAGAAGCCGACCTCGAAGCTCCAGCTTACTTCACTTCGAGGTTTAGCTATAAACCGTAACTTCAATCTCTTCTCTCTCTAGTGCTTTCGGTCGTGAACGTGGCCTTATTTGAACCCAAATCGGAGTTCTACTCCCATTCCATGGAGTGTGATTTTTGTTCTTTCGACAATAGGATTATAGGAACTTAGAGAAAAGTGAAAACATAGGGAAAATACGTATAAAACCGATCAGCTCATGACGAGGCATGGCGACGAAAAAAAGAGAAAGAAATTCAATTCTGAGGTACGATCCTAATTGCACGGGAAAAAGAATTCCAGATTGGGATTCTTCCTTTACACGAAACCGGGACTCGCTTTCTTTCCTACTAATGTTCAATCGGTTACTTGGCTTTCGGGAAAGAGACCGTATTGGGTTAAAGTTTGGGGTCGGGTATGCCACATCGATCCGATATTAGAATACGTGCTAGTAGGGATGAGATTTTAGGTGTTCCCTGCTAGTTACATGATAGCTATAAGCACGTATGGAAAGCTCTTTAGCAAGCCTTTGAGAGAGCTGGACTATGTTATGTCAATTGAAAGAT